TCTATTACTACTGAGGCAACATTCTCCTGGAATTGTGTAAGACAGGACTTCAAGTATATAGATTACCCAGAATGCTGCCTGTGCCTCTGTGATAGGTCAGGGGTGTTCGTGGTGGAGGTAGACATGGGTTGGTTTAATGTGAAAGCTCTGTGTAGGACGGCGAGCCCACTGGGGTACGGTGAGTTTGATCCATGTTACTGGGCTCGTTTCACATTAAAGGTGCAATAGGTGATTGTCTTCAGAAACATTTTTGTTATGCTGGTTGAAAGTCTCTTCACATCCCGATAGCAATCATTAAAGGGATAGTTCACCCAAAAATGAAAATGTGATGTTTATCTGCTTACCCCCAGGGCATCCAAGATTTAGGTGACTTTGTTTCTTCAGTAGAACACAAACGGAGATTTTTAACTCAAACCGTTGCAGTCTGTCAGTCGTATAATGGAAGTGAATAGAGTCACAGCTTTGAGAATAAAAAAAAAACATACACAAACAAAACCAAATTGAACCCTGCAGCTCGAGACAATACATTGATGTGTAAAGACACAAAACAATCAGTCTGTGCAAGAAACTGAACAGTATGTATATCGTTTTTTTACCTCTGATGCACTGCAATGTCTGATCTGTCCTGAGCGCGTCCTCAACAGCCGGCGTCGTTGTCGTCTTGCTTTACGGCGGATCGCAGGCTTATAAGAGCATTACCGCCACCTATCTCTCAAATGGACCATTGACACTCTATCTACAATCTCAATTAGGAGTGTCAATCCCTTTAAGTTAAGTGGTCTAAATGTATTTATATGTATTTATATATTCTGTGGAAGGCGTAGGAACACTCGTTCCGAGCATTTTGATTGACTTTCCTATCTGCCTCAGATATGTATTTGCATACCTCTGCGCACTCTGATTGTTCACGTATGCTGTGCAGACAGAGAGAGAATGGCAGGCAAACATCAAAAACCTGATCTTCCTTCCTGGTATCGTAGTACTTCTACTAACTGTACTATAACGTTTTCTCACCGGTGAATGACACATGATGTATTGTAGTAATGTTGTCTCTGGTCATCTGGTCTTGATATTTAATCTTCTAGTTCCCTTTGAAATAATAAAGCCTTCCCATAGTCACATGCAATCCATGGAGGATCAGCGTTTAGCTGTTGGGCTTGTGAAGTTAGAGGAATATGTCTTTTTGTTGTTGTTTTAATAGAAAGACATGGATATAATTTGTAATTATTGAAATTAATATCAGGAATGTCACTGCTTTTGCTTTTTACCAGTTTTTCTAATGTAGATAGTGTGTTTATATTTCGGATAATATAATCAATCAGGAAACGATGAGATCAATAAAGCATGTGTTTGAGTCTGCATTCTCTTAATTTGTGCTTGTCTGATTCTCAAATGACAACAATCACGATCAGTAATCGCTATTATTATTTTAAGCAAAATAATTGTGATTATCAGAATGCAGAATGACTAAAATATGATAAAAAAGTGTGCACTTGCTGAAACTAGACTAAAATTCCCAGACTTTGATTGAAAAAACTTGGCTAAAAAAACAAAAACAAAACTATGATAAAATAAACTTTTATATGGTCAAAACTAAAAAGGATATTTGACACAGGACTAAGATGAAGACAAAAAAAACAGCTGACAAAATTAACACTAATGAAGGCAGTAGATTGGAGCAAATATCACCATGTTCAGTAGTGTTTACACATGCAGTTGTGTGTTTGTTAAACCTGTGTTTCAGCGAGGAACATCTCCAGCTTTAGGAGCGGTAATGAGGCTCCACAGACGCGTCTCTAGCTCAGCACTTTCGCGGAGTTGCTGGAGGGGAGGCAATGCTGGCTGCTGTTCTCTAATGATGCTCCTCACGGCAGTCTAGCGTTTTGAACTCTCTCCTCTGAGCTCCTGGACAGTCCTGACTCCCCGGCAGAGATCTGGTCCGGAAGGGGCTTCATCGACAGCGCTGATGAAAGGCGAGACGCGCTCGAGGCTCAGAGCTCCCGTCCAGTCGGCTCTCGGTGGAGCTCATTCAGCAAACAAACAGCAAAAAGTCCTGCCAGACACTTATTGATCAGCACTCTGAAACGCATAGACAAGACTCTTTACCTCTCAGCCAAACGTGTGCAAGAAAACAACAAACTTAAGCTAAAGTGAGGCTTTGACTTTAATTGGTGCTGTTTTCTGCGTTTTGCTGTTGTGTGGCCCAGTGAGGAGTAAAGCGGTGGGCCCCGTTCATTCTGCTGGAGTCTGTCTGTGAGTGTGAGGCTTTTAATTCAGTCAAGTCACCTTTATTTATGTAGCGCTTTATACAATACTGATTGTTAGTTAATTGTGTTAAAGCAGCTTTAGTGTCAACAGGAAAATTGTTTGTCAATAATGCAAGAGGACAATAACAGAGTAATTTTCCAGATAAAGTCAGTTAATTGATGATTCAGTGATGTCATCATCCAGTTCAGCTCCAATAGTGTCTGTGCAATCAGTCAGGTGTCCCCAACTAAGCAAGCCAGAGGCGACAGCAGCAAGCAACCTAAACTCCATCGGTGACAGAATGGAGAAAAAACCTTGGGAGAAACCAGGCTCAGTCGGGGGCCAGTTCTCCTCTGACCAGACGAAACCAGCAGTTAAGTCCCAGGCTGCAGCAAAGTCAGATTGTGCAGAGGACTCATCTGGTTCCTGTGGTCTTGTCCCGGTGGTCGTCTGAGACAAGGTCTTTACAGGGGATCTGTATCTGGGGCTCATCTAGTTGTCCTGGTTTCCGCTGACGTTCAGGGCTGTGGTGCTCCTGTCTAGGTGCTGATCCGCCATCTGGTCTGAATACGTACTGGATCCGGGTGACTGCAGTGACCATCTGATCTGGATACAGACTGGATCTGGTGGCTACGGTGACCTCGGAATAAGAGAGAAACAGATCGGACATCGGGTGTTATGAGAAGTGTTCCCGGCTCCGGTTGACCTAATTAATGCAGCCTAAAAATCCTTTAACGGATTTTAATATTAGAAATGTGTTAGTGTGTTATGTGTAAACCAGTTTAACGAGATGGGTCTTTAATATAGATTTAAACTGACAGAGTGTGTCTGCCTCCCGAACAATGATAGGTAGGTTATTCCAGAGTTTGGGAGCTAAATAGGAAAAGGATCTGCCGCCCGCAGTTGATTTTGATATTCTAGGTATTATCAAATGGCCAGAGTTTTGGGATAGTAGTGGACGTAAAGCATAATAATGCGATATGAGCCCGCTCAGGTATTGAGGTGCTAAACCAGTCAGGGCTTTGTAAGTAATAAGCAAGATTTTAAAATGTATTCGATGTTCAACAGGGAGCCAGTGCAGTGTTGACAGAACCGGGCTAATATGGTCATACTTCCTGGTTCTAGTAAGAACTCTAGCTGCTGCATTTTGGACCAGCTGGAGTTTGTTTATTAAGCGTGCAGAACAACCACCCAATAAAGCATTACAATAATCTAACCTTGAGGTCATGAACGCATGGATTAACATTTCTGCATTTGACATTGAGAGCATGGGTTGTAATTTAGATATATTTTTAAGATGGAAAAATTTGGTTTTACAAATGCTAGAAATATGGCTTTCAAAGGAAAGATTGCTATCAAATAGCACACCTAGGTTCCTAACTGATGACGAAGAATTTACAGAGCAGCCATCGAGTGTTAGACAGTGTTTTAGGTTATTACATGCAGAGGTTTTTGGTCCATTAAATAAAACCTCTGTTTTTGTTTTTAATTTAGCAGTAGGAAATTGAGTAATCCAGTTTATTTCGACTGTTCATTCCATTAGTTTTTCAAATTGGAATGTTTCGCCGGGCAGCGAAGAAATGTAGAGCCGAGTATCATCAGCATAACAGTGAAAGCTAACACAGTGTTTCCTGATGATCTCTCCCAAGGGTAACATGTAAAGCGTGAAGAGTAATGGCCCTAGTACTGAGCCTTGAGGAACTCCATACTGCACTCCATACTCTATATGATACCTCTTCATTCACTGCTACGAATTGATGGCGGTCATATAAATACGATTTGAACCATGCTAATGCACTTCCTCTAATGCCATCATAATTTTCTAGTCTATTCAAAAGAATGTTGTGGTCGATAATGTCAAATGCAGCACTAAGATCCAGTAGCACTAATAGAGAGATACAACCACGATCAGATGAGAAGAGCAGGTCATTTGTAACTAATGAGAGCAGTCTCAGTCTTAGTTTCAGTCCTGTATCAAATGTTCTTTTTAGTCAGCCTATCCTGTTCTTTTAGTCAAGTTTTAGTTGAGTGAAAGTCTGAGGATTTTAGTCTAGTACAATTGAGATCATGTTTGGATTCATTACAGTTCATCAGTGAGAAGGTCTGATGGAAGATTTAGTCGCAGCAAACAGCGCAAAAAGCCATGTGAATGAACACACACTGCCTGTATGACACTTGCATCAGTAATTATGTCCCCACTGGATGCAACAAATGCCTCGCTTATAATGGGTTTTATTGGTGTTGTCTCATCGTGCCGGGACACTACATCACAGTATGGTGAGGGGCGTGACATTTCCGTCACATGCTTGAGGTATTCGGCCAATCACAACACACTGGATAGCTGGCCAATCACAGCACACCTCGCTTTTCAGACCGATGAGCTTTGTAACAATCGACGTGTTTCAGAAAGACGGGGCATAGAGGAGAAACAATAATGTACAGTATGTGGAAAATAATGTGTTTTTTGAACCTTAAACTGCATAAACACATTTCATTACACCAAATACACAAAATAATGTTCTTTTTAGCATCATCATATGACCCCTTTAATGTTCCTTAAAGTAAGTTCATTGTCTTTATGCAAAGCAAAGCTTCTGTTGGTTTTGTTAGTTAAATATGACCTGCACAGGAGGTTCATCTGGACCGCCAATCTTCTCAGTGTTCAGACATGTTGATATCTGTCACACTCATCATCAGTGCGTATGTATCGCTCCTGATGTTTATGATCCTCTCTTTCTCTCCCTGTCCCACAGCTGTCTGAACGCTTGCACGTACTGCAAAACCAAACACGCCAGAGGAGATCTGGCCAGTTACCCCATCGAGGAGCTGGTGGAGAGAGCCAGACAGTCCTTCCAGGGTGAGTCTGACCTCTGAACCCTGAACCCTGACCCCTGACCCCGGCCAACACCCTTCAGTGTCTGATGATCCATATCATATGTCCTGAAGTCAGAGTGACCCTCACAGCATATGAACGTCTGTCTAACATTTACTCTAGTGCTAAATGAAACGCAAAAGTTTGAGTAAGTGTTTAGTTTTAGTAATACTCGAGTAAGCCAGTGCTTTTCTGACTAACTGAAGATCATCAGCTGCCAGAGATCAGCGTAAAATCTCTACTGTTATTTTACACAGCCAATCGGCCCATGGTTCCTCTCAGCCAACCAGAAGCTCAGCCATGTCATGCTGTTTTATTTGTGCAAACTCCTGTAATGATGGGGGGTCTGTATGAGAGCGATGAAACGACATGCCAACATAATGCCGCTGATTATGTGAATATGTAGTTTTGTTTGGAATGTGCTGTTGTTTGTGTTTGTGTTCGTCTCCAATCTCCTGTCATGTTTCACGCAGAACACTCCCTAGAGCAGATCAATGGGTGATATGACAACGCTGCTAAATACACTCGCATTCATACAGCATTTTTGTTTTTTATGATCGTGATGACCGCTTTCCTTAACCGAACCGACACCTGCACATTTCAGCAAAGCTGTATGAACAGAACCGCACTGGTCAGCTAGTTATATAATGTGTGAGCACATGTCAATAGTGCCGAAACTTCCTGGTGTTGTGGACATGGCTGTGTTTGATGCTGCCGTTATGCTGAGCTGAGTGAGAACACGGTTGTGACTTCAGCTGTTCGTGCATACAGATATGTATTCAAGCAGCTGAATGAACAACACATTTGAAGACTCGCAGCTGTGAGGAAAGGTTGTCAGACGCAGTCACACATTGACTGAACATCATGGACGTGTACTACTGATAGATGCACTTCCTTTTATTTATTTATTTATTAATTATTTATTTTTGTAAAGTAATATTTTGAAAAATTGTTTGACAAAAGTGTTGAAAGGTTAATTGCAAAAGTTATGGTTAATATTTGTTGGTAAATTAAAGGATTAATTGACTAATCAGAAAATAATTGACAGCTTAAAGGCTAAATTAATCCGGTTATGATGATATCCAGTCGATCATCTAGATAAAGTCAGCTGGACGTGTCAGGCTCATCAGTGTTCATCAGGAGGCTGTTAGTCAGGACCGAGAGAACATGTCTCATGACTAGAGGAAGTTTGTGCTGTTTGAGTGTCAGTAAGTCATGAGTGAAGGTGTGTGAGAGTGTGTGGTTTCTGCTGTGGGTCTGTGTGTTTCTCTGTTCCTCATGCTGTCGCAACAGCAGCACTTTTGCTCCACACTTTCCTCGTGTTGCCTGAATCTGACAGAAACCACAGTCTGCAGCAGATGATCGTGTGTGTGTGTGTGTGTGTGTGTGTGTGTGTGTGTGAATGAGTGTGTGTGTGTGTGTGTGTGTGTG